TCTTTGGTGTTTTTCTATCTTATTAAACTGTTATTTTCAGGTTTCCTACCATTTAAACGTAATTTTTTATGCGGCCAAAATAACTCAAAATACCGTTTAAACAGTTATCACACCAAAACCCGCACTCACGACACTCGGTCTCAACACAATGGAAAAATCTTAACACCTAACAGAACTTTCGAAATGATCTGCAGTAAACGGAATCCCAATCGCTTCGGCGCGGCGGCTTATCAGGGATAAGGCTGAGTTCACTATCGGAAAACCGAGGCTATTCACTAGTTTCGTCGAGATCCGCATACCACCCGGATCGGGGATACCAGATACCATTACATCTTTTTGGCATGTACCAATTCTGTTCCTTTCACTGATTGGCCGGCTTTAGCCAATTACTGCAAACCAATCAAAACGTTTGGTTACGCGGGCTGTTCGTGATCAAATAAATGGCTCTTCGGATTAGTGGCAAGCGTGAAAAGGTTTCTATGAAACCAGCCATCCTATGAAAAATGTCACGGCTTAAAAGCCTGCAATCTTTCAGATTAGTCGCGTACTTTCGAACATAGCAGCTTATGATAAGCTTGATAATAACGAGATCTAACAATGCTCCTACTGGCAGAAGCTGGGCGCTCTTTGAACAAAGATTTGACAAGTCTCTTTCGGCACAACCTTCAAACGCCTCGCGTTCTTGACCGGCTTGTACACGAGCTTCACAGTGATAAAGAGCTGTGCAGTTACTTGTTTCTTAACCATCCCGGCTCGGAAGACATGCTGTGGGGACTTATGAACCTTTTGACGGAAGATTCCCGGTAAGCATGAGTTTTGTTTATACTCACGAACAGCTGAAACTGTGAAAGGTCTTTGTTTACAACGCTTTCGCGCAATTGTAAAGCAGTTTTTCAATGGGGAGCAAGTACTAAACAAAATTGTGAACCAACGGAACATTGTTAAGATTTATTTCAAAGCAGTTATGACACAGCGGGTCGCGAGGGTGATGTTAATGAGAAGATTAGTTAACCATTGTGTTCATTTGACTTGTTCGGAATTAAACAGCAGCTAGAGAGAAACGAGATAGCTTACAAGATGACCGAACCTGTAGTTGACTATATTCATGTCCCTTTTAATTAAGCTATTTTGAAAATGAACGCTGTCTCTGTTGGGTTAATCTTTTATCAATCGCAAGAAACACTACCTTGTTTCAGCAAACAGCCTTACAAGTCGCGAAATAAATAATTATGAAAATTATGATTAAGCTTATTTGAACGGTGTTTTCAGTATAACTAATATAAGCTTACTGTTAGCTTAGAAAGTAATTTCGGAGGATCCATAGCTAAATTTCTAAAATAGCCCTGAGCATAAGCTTATCTGCCGTTTTCACTTTAATACTTGCAGGAGATTCTGTTGCTACGAGTAATGACAGTTTGACATTTAATTGATTTTTCCTTCGATTTTTGTAAGCAACAGGAAATTTGACAGTAAATGTTAAGCCCAAGGTTTTGTAATATTTACTTTATTTCCATCCACGATCTTTTTCCTAGATAAGCTTACAATTAATCTTTTGTTAAATTTCAATGATTTAAATAATATGGACAGGGTTTATTTTCATTTTTGGAGCTTAATATCTTAAAATGATTTTCCCTTCTTGTGATTATTGTAATTAACACCTGGCTCTTCAGCTTGGTTTGCAATAGACATTTCCTGTGGTTATCAGTTGTAAATAATTTTTTGTTGTTGCCAAACTGTAGGCAAAATCTTTTTCTCTTTGTCAGTTCCTGAAAGGTGTTTGCAATGACTTGTGAACACTATAAGCTTGCATCTTACTCTGCCACTTTTCACAATTCTGAAATTTTGCTGTATTTAGAATGTTGTGTTTGTTTCCATGGAAACCACAATAATTCATTTTCCCCTTTTTCACCATAATGAACATTGTTATCTTAGTTTCACTGCATTACTGTATTTGGATGGTGGGTGAATTAATGAGACTGTTTGTGATAAATAAAACCCTGGCCCATTAACCCCAGGGACAAAAGTGAGAGTGAAAGTGAGTTGTGAAAGAAACATAACCAAATCAGCTGGAGCTTATTCAAGGTGTTAAGCAATGGAGTCACACACAAATTACATCACGAAAATTTAAACCCCGGTGTGACTCAGACAAACAAACCATTCCATGGGTTACTTCTTTGAGAGCGTCGTATGGAGCAATGGCTCTTGCGAGCTGTTCGGCGCAGTACTCAGCAATTATTTACACAATTTGATGACCTCTGTAACTCAAAATATCAGAGAAAGCCCACAACATGCACCTTGGAATATAATACAGAGTTCGAAGGCAGGCAGCAAAATATGATGGGCTTCTCATGTATGAAGGCTGTTTATGTATACACTCCTAACGTCCATAGCAGAAAAAAATATTGTCATTGTACCCTACATTCAGGTGTATCGCTCACAAGAAAGCCAGCAAAGAAATACCACAAAGAAATACCATAGATC